GTGCGACGTTGATTATTGAACATGCGTGTATTATTGTAAAAATACATCTACATATATATATCTCTCTCTCAAATATATATATATATACATTTGTGTATATATGTTCCTTTTGCCCATTGCATGCCTACGCAGAATCACACATGTGTGCCAACATGTGTCAAAAAACGAGCCTTCAAAACAAACCTTACAAAACCACAGTCTCCACTGAAACTTTGTTCCCTTAACTAAAGTTTGTTTCTTGCGCAAACAAACCTCAATTACTGAAGAACAAACCTCAATTAAGGAAACACATCGTAATTAAGGTTTGTAAACATAAATGCTAATTAGTTAGTGCCTTTTCAAAGGATAGGTATGTGTGCACGTCCACACATATTGACTTTTCAATTTCCAGGTCCACAACCGTATGCATGTATACACTCAAGTGTAAACAGGTATGCCAGTAGATATTCAACCATGTTCACGGTTAGATACTGTTGTAAAAGCACGCTTTTATTATATAAAAAACGTTTCATATCTATGTTCTGCTTGTATATTTCATTTCCTGCGTACACATGGTAGCGTTAAAAAAGCGTTTTTGTTTACACATGTATTTCTGCTTGCGTACATAAGACATATGTGTAAATATTTTTTGGTGCTGGCCAGTGTTGGCAATGTGACTCTATGCTGGCGCAGCGATCAAACATCAAACTTTATACATTACCCAACGAATGAAAAATGTTATTCCCTTGAAAATATTCATTTTTCTACTTTTGAAGTTGCTGACTTGTTCGTGTTCACATGTCATGTTAGGTGGCAGCCTCATGACAATTGACCCAAGTGACAAAGGCTATTCACAACGGCAACAATGACAACACCATATTTCATGTCAGTTCAAGCTTTGAACAAAAACCAATGAAAACACACAAACGCAATACCAAATTTCATTTCAAAGGTTCATTTTTTGGTTTTTGGGTTCAAAGTTGTTCAATGTCACGTTTTCAAACCTGTGAAACACGTTGATGTTATCACGATGCTAGCACGAGTCACTTTTGGCTCAAAATAGCTCAAAAAGTACTTTTTGAGATGCCCAAAAATCCCTACAAATTAATCTCCCCACAAGCTGGCCGCCATTCCGAAGTTTGTGACAATGGCTCCCTGAGCTTGTTGCAGTGCAAGCATGGAATCACTCCTGAATATGGTAGGGATGTTGGAGTTTTGGCCAATTCTCCAGAGGAGTGACCAACAGAGAGCTTCGCGCTCAGCAATGGCTGATCCTATTCTGTCTGCACCTATGTACCAGTCATTGTGGGGATCAGTTCGCACCTGATGTGCAGACCACCCGATGAGAGTGAGGTCTGGAGTGGAATCAGGAAGATATGTCTCGCCCAGCACGAGGAAGCTCCATGAATCAGGAATCCCGATCTCCTCGTTCAGCAAAGGGGAAATGTGCTTGGAGCGGGACTGAGATGAGCCGTCCATGTAGATGATCAACCTGTCGAAGTGAGTGTGAGCTGCCAGTCCGCGCAGTCGTTCACGACAGAAATCAGGAAGCTCGATTCCTTCAAATGAGGTGCACAATGTATTTCTTGATGACTCAAAGAACTGCAGAAGGTCCGCTGAAGTTACCCCACAATGGAGGCTGCATGTAGATGGCAATTGGTGCGGCGTCTCTTGGTACATGGGCATTCGTGGCGTTCTCTTCTGTGGTGCTGGCCACGGTGGGAGGGTTTTCTGCTTACCCTCCTTGATTTGCATGTCACCCAGTGCCTCCTTAAAAGGGATCTCGAGGATACCAGAGGGGTGTCTGATTTGTTCCAGGATGACCGCCTTTTCATAGCCAAATTGGTAGAGCAGTCTCATGATAGCCAACTCATCCTCCTGGTCTGGCTGAGGCAGTGTGTGTAAAATGCATTCATATGGCAGATTGCGGGACACAAGGACACAATGTTTGGAGATGTCGTCGCTGTCAAAGTCATGCGGCCAAAAAAGGACCGTGTGTCCATCAGAAAGGATAGTGGAGATGCCGGAGATACCAAATTCCCAGAGCGCATCCTTCACCTTTGCTTCTGTCGGTGGGTATAGTACCTCTATAAAAGATGGCACAGGGGTTGTCCCGCCGCCTCCATCGATGAGTCTGAGAGCCGTCGTGGTGGTAGGAACGGAGGGAAGGAGAGGCCCATGGGTGTGAGCCACCAGCCCATGTGTTAGGCGCCCCTCTTCCCTTCTTTGAACCCGAGCCCTGATCTGCAAAAGGTGTGTGGCCTGTGATGGGACCTGCGGTTCCGGGTTGGTGGACCGGCGATTCATCCATAGGGTGATGCTCGTGCCATCCCCTCCCAAGTATGGGCGTCCAAGCTGAAGCTGTTGTGAGCCGCTAGTCGCCGTGCAGATGGAGGTGGCACCTTGGAGGAGGCATCTGCTTTCGAGGCCAAGTCCATAAATGAGATGTTCGAGCAGGATGCCTTCCTCGGTCGTTATAGCAAATTGACGGGTTGGACCATCTGTGTGCCTTTCCATGTTAAAGAAGGTCACAACACTGGATGACAATGCATCTTGAGGGTTCTGTATCAAGAGGACATGTGCAGCCGATTCTGGTCCAATGTTGATCGGTGTAGGTTGCACCACATGGATCTGAATTGGAGCATCCGGCTGTCGAAGGTCTTGCCAAACTCTGAGAAGGGTGTCTTCCCAAGCATTGTAGTTACCTGAAAGATGAATTCGACGGGAAACCCAGCAATTGTGAAGGTTCTGGTGAAGTTGATCGATGAACCATGTAGTCACTGGCGCTGAAGCTTCTTCACCCTCCCAACTGAAGGCAAATCTCGCCCAGCAGGGCCAGTGAAAAGAGCACGTCGCCGAGCTGCATAGTCAACTACCTCGCTGAGTCTAACCATCTCAGCCTTGACATACTCACCCTGGCGGTAGGCAAGGGCGCATCTATCCCCACATTGGACGTCGGTCTCCTCATTCAGCGACACCTCTTGGCCCAAAACGAGCCCTCCAAGGGGTTCTGCTGCCACCCAGTGAAGGAAGGGCTGCCCGGGGCAAAACTGAGGCGCATCGGGATTGAAGCTGAAGGCTGTTTGGGCCGATGGGGCTTGTGGCTGTGTCCCTGGCTGTTGCATCAAATTGCTTGCATCTTCTTCCTCCAGTTCAAAAGGGCCAAACAGTCCAGGAGCTCTCAGAGAAATGACAATATTGCAACCTGGCTCGACCACGTTCAAGTCAATGAAGTCGTATGGAATTTGCCCCCGACGAACACTGCAGGCTCGAGGCTGGCACAAAGCTTCCATGTCCGCAACTCTAATGATCGCTGGAGCATTCATGATGGAGTGCAGCGAGACAGCTTTGTGGTTGATGGTTGGTCCCCTAAATCTCGAATCTTGAATCGAGATAAGTGCCACAGCGTGGTCAGGACGTGGAACTTGTTCAATGATCAGATGCGCCAAAATGCACTCAAACGGTGTGCAGGGCGGTGTAGGTCGTACCAGGTAAATCATGATGTCCTGTGTTGGGTCAATTTCATCATCCCAAGGATGAAGAATATCAGTGAGCCATTCAGCAGGATCTTGGAACAGCTTCACTGCTCTTGGAGCTTCACATCGAGGCCTTCGATCATGGTGAATATACCACGTATCGACGTAGGCGATGCGTCCTTCCTCTTCACATTCAAGCAACGCTTGAGACCTGAAGAAATTTTGGAGTGTGTCAAAGTCTCTTCCAAAGAATCTGCTGAGTGGTCGTTGTTGTAGAGGCTGTTGGTTTGTACCACTGGATGAAGCTGCCAAGTGTGATCCCCTTACATGTTCTGGTGCAATTTTGGCCTGAAGAGGAGTGAGCCCTTGGAGAGTGGAGGTACATGTCTTCTGGAAGCAGCGAAGTGCATTTTGAAAGAGAGCACTGCTGTCACCTTCTCCACTTGGTCTTGGGCCCTCCTCAGAACATGCTGCCGTCAAAGTTGCTGGAGAGGTTGCAGGTTCCTCAATTGCGAACTCTCTTGAGATCGTGATGGCAAGTTCTGTGTCCAGTGCAGGGTCATCTGGTGGTGGCACAATGATCCGCAGATAAGCACCATGTGTCAAAGGGTGTACTGTGCGATCTTGTGCAGGCCAAATGACATTGTTCTCATAGACGGTGCATTTATCTCCATGGAGCTCACAGTAGTCATGGAGTCCTGCAAGGCGGAGAATTTGAGATCGATGTAGAGGAGGAAACACTCGTATTACTTTCCTGCTGAAAGCCGGTGGCACGAGCAATCCCGAGGAAAGCGCATGAAAGTGAATTTCCTGATCCAAAAGGATAAGCTGCTCTCCCGATCCGGCAGGAATGTCACCAACAGCTTGAAGGATGACTGCTCGTCCAACGACCGGATGAACGCCAATAGGAAGAGCATGAACAAAGTGCATGCCGATAATGTCATGTCGAGGCAGTCGCAGGCAACGTACAATGTCAAATAAAATCCTCCTGTAGGTGTCCCATTGGATGTAACAGTGTACGTCCTGCTTTTCAAGGCTGTATACATGTACTCCAACTTCTTCTTCTGGTTGATCAGAAGTGGATGATGCTTCTTGAGAATGAGGTGATGGAGGTCTGGAGTCAAAATGGCCTGCATCCTCATAATCAAAATCACGGTCAGCTTGGGTTTCTCCAATGATCTGGTCTTCCTGCAGCGGTGACGTGAGCCGTCTTGCTCGATCATCTGTAGCGATCCTGGTGATCGTGATCACGATGGAGTCGCCGCTGTGCATTTGGTGTCGAGGAAGGTGATCAAATGGGATAGGCTGCCAACCGTACGCCAAAGTGCAACGGTTTTGAGAGAGCTATATACATATATATATATATACATATTGTACCCACTGATTTTCTCCCATGTTGGAGCATGTTGTGAAAGGATTTTGTTTTCGCCCCTTCATTTCTTCAGTGGCTCTATCATTTTTGCCCCTTTTCCATCCTTCTCACTGACTCATCACCTTCTCTATCCTGTTCTGACTGACTCATGGGCACGTGCTTGATGGATGCAGGCTGTCTTGAGGATGGTGCAGATGCAGTGGGATGATGCAGAAGAGATATTGCAGGAGGTGCTCAACAATCCCCCGGGAGAGGATGGCTGTGATAGCAATTGCCCTGAGGCATTGCTTTTGCACGCACAGCTCCTGCTAAGATTCTTATCCAGAGCTAGAAATTGTGATTCCAGATCCGTCCTAGGAATACTTTTCTTGGGCAGATGCTTTGACACATCCGCAGATCCGCACATAACCTTCGTGGGAAAGTGGATGCAGTGCCTCTCATCCCAAGGACAAATGCAACATGACCTGGCGCTGGAGTACTTGCAAAAGTGCTTGCGTCAACCCTTTACTTTGTTCTTTGGAAGGTCAGCCTTTCGTTGCAGCCTGTGAGTTTGCTTGACTTTGGGCAGAGACCATCCTACAGTCATTTGCATTTGTAAAAACAGCATGCCACAAGCATGTGAAAAAGTAAAAGGTGCTTTATGATTCTGAAAGGCAAGTTAGAAACATAAACCAAAGACAGAATTGACACGTTTTGATGTGACCGTCTTAAACTTGCTGAACGATTGGTTCCTGTGTGGTCACATTTCATCAAACTTCGCCATTCAGCAGGATGGAGCAAAGCCTTGCGCATTTGGCCTCATGCCTTTGCTACCATCATCTTGCGTCACGAAGAGATCGAGGAACCCGCTTCAAGCCGAAAAGATGTCAACAAATCAGCTAGATGGCTGCATTTATCAAGAATAGTCAAGAAGTGTGAGCTTACGATATATTATGATCTTATATGCAAACGATTGCAAATGCAATCAACTATATGATATTATGATTAATATTGATAATATTGTATAGTACAAGATAGTGATCTCACACTGACACCGCGGCGTGGAGGAGATTCAGCTGCCAGTGGAAGACAAGGAGATTCTGAAAGTTCTCCCACAGGTCAGACTGCCCGGGCAAGCCATTCAATGCATAATGCTGTAAGAGGTAGGCCAGGTAGGCAGTTGCCATAAAGTTTGCCTTACGCTCACAATAAGTAATACTGTATCTCACATTAATGCACGCTGTGTGTATATCATACAAAATCACACACACAAAAAAAAAAAATCCGGAAATATCCGAAACACGTCTCTGCCTGCACAGCGAAAAGGCCGGCGATGGCCAACACTTTTCGGTCTGTTGACCGGTGGAAGATCGGGAGAAACAGATGCGGAGGCGGAGTTGTCGCGCCCCACCCGAAGCCAAAGCGCTTTGGAACATTTCCGCTGCGCCTTGGAGCTCGAGCCGCAAACTCAGACTCTTAGCTGATGGATGCTGATGGTGGAATATGGTGGAATAATTACTATTGCTGGGCCATCAGGGGCCATGGCCAGATGCCACATTCTTTGAGCTGAGGAACTCCATTGTGGCCTGTGCTGACGCGGAAAGCCTTACAGCACTGCTACGAAAGCGAGGCCTTGCCATTGAACTAAACCTGGAAGAGGCCAGTCTTCTACGTGACTGTGCCCTTATGGAATCCAGCGACCCCTGCGACCCTTCTGCCTTGCCTAAACTTGTGGGCACGGCATCTACTGCAATGCCAGCCAGTGATAATCCATCCAGGCAAAATTCGGATTCTGCTTTGCCAGTATGTGACTTCAAAGAAGCCTTGACGATGGAAGGTGTTGCCAAGATGTTGGGAGCAGAGAGAACGATTTTCTTTAATGACTTGGAATTTGGAGAGCTCTTGAGCAGAGGTGAGCACACCACCGTTCAGAAAGCAAGATACAGAGGTTCCGGAGTCGTTGTGAAAGCATTGCATCATCAGGCCATCATGTACAATCAGGCCCAACCTGTGACAAAACAAATTTCCAATTTGAGCCTTTGTGAGCCCATGCGCTTTGATCTTACACGTTCTTTTCTTTTTTTCCCATCTCAATTTGGAGATATGTGGATTTGTCAGAGTCATGTTGCATCCAAAATTCATATTTTGGTACCGGCTTTGGTACCTTTTTTGTTCCCGCTTTGTTTGGGTGAGCCCCACTGTTTCCCACCATGAGTCCCGAAATCCAACAGGATGCAGTGGAAGACTTGCTGGCAGAGATCCGGATCCTCTCTCGGCTGAATCATCCACGCCTTGTCCCTTTGGTTGGTGCTTGCTTGGAGGAGTCTCAAGTTATCGCCTTGGTGACGGAGTTGGCAGCTGGTGGAAATTTGCATCACGCTCTCCATGTAAGACGAGTGGACTTCACGAGGGCACAGCACTTTCAGATATCCATGGAGTTCCTGGAAGGTGTTCGCTATTTGCATTCGTTGCAACCGCCAGTTCTCCACTTGGACTTGAAGTCCATGAACCTGGTGTTAGATTCAGAGTTTCAACATGTAAAGATTTGCTACTTGGTTGCAGCACCTTCGCGGTTGTGCGGCCTGCTTGCTTCTATTTATTATACCTTTTCTATCCGTTTCTTTTGCCAGCCTCTAGCCACTTTCGCTCACAATAATTCTACCATAATTGATTGCATAATATTGCGTGACAATTATCATATTCATATCATATCCGCTTCTTCCCGCGTCTGTTTATGAAAATGGTAAAGACGGCAGCCCCTTTTCAGATGACATCAAGTATCATCAAGTATCATCAAGCTCATTCGCCCTGAGGTGACTTTGGCTTATCGCGGGTGGTCACTGGGGTGCAGCGAGAGAATCTCCAACGTGGGGGCTCTCCAAGGCGGGCCTTCAAGAACCTACTCGTATATTACTCGTGCACACAATGTATACACTCGTATTTTACAAAATGTTACTGTTACAAAACACCCCCCTTTGAATTTCTTTGCTCATTGGGATCTTTCCCAGGGCATCCCTGGACCTTGCTGTTACATAGCCCTTATTGAAACCCTTCCGGCGATGCGCTGGGGGCAAAAAGGGCAAGGTTGTAAATGAACATTCCTTGAGCTGCATTTGTTTGCTTTCGTTTAACGCGTTGATCCGTTTTCTCCCTCCCAGTGGGGAAGGGGTACGTATTTGATCGTATTTGATCGTATTTGCATGTGATCCGCAGTAAGAATTTAACCAGGTGATAGACATACACTGGGCACTCGCATAAATTTGATGGGACTGGATAGGTACATGGCGCCAGAATGCTTTGACGAGTCGCTCGGAGCGCTCACTGTGACTCCTAGCTGCAACTTCCGCCGTGCCTCCAGCCTCCAGTGACACAGAAATTACTGCCGTTTTCTGGGGGCGGTATTCCACATGCTTGCGAAGATGAATTGATCCCACCCACAGCATCAAACAGGTGTTGTCCCCAGGCCAACTGCACGTGCTGACGGGCAAACTTGTCTCATATTTATTCTCATTGATCTCATTGTAGACCAAGGAAAACTGATGTTTGGTCGAGAGCTTAGCTCGCAGTGGGTAGCAATGCCCTTGAGAAGCGACAAGCACATATACTTGTACTTATTGGACTTAGATTTGACTTAGTTTGAACGCACTGTGTGAATTGACCTTGGCCACACAGGGCCATGTGTGTGGCAGCTGTCCTAAAAAGCCCCCCAAAAGGATAGTTGGTGCATGTTGGTGTAGTTTTCACTTGTCGAAGTCGAAGCAGTTGCCCAATGTTGCCCACATGGCCCGTCATTTCCCTACAAGATCCTACCTTGGCATAACTGGCATTAATTGGCTTGGCATAGGACCCAGGGATATCTAGGGATGTTATGGGGCCTGTGTCCTGTATCGCCAGGTCCTCAGCTTGCATTCTTCTGGAGATGTTCGGATCGTGTCAGCCGTACTTTGAGTGCAGCAGCATGGCCTGGTCACCTGTGATGGACAACCTGTGGGACAAGCGTTAAAACCTGTGTTTTCACATTGTTTAACCTAGTTTTAACCGTATTTTAAGATGTTAAAGCCTATGTTTGGATCATGGAAGAGCTATTTGTTTGGGGAAAAGGCTGCGAGGCTCGCCAGGATGCGTACCACTATGGAATTGGTTGACGTTTTTGGCCAGGGCAATTTAGAGAGGGCATGGCACTAGAAATTGATTCCGCACAGCTTAAGGCAACCTGCAGCAGATTCTCAACATGCTGCTTGTGCAACAGTTGCCTCCAACACTGCCAGAGAGCATGGAGCCTGCTGTCAAAGTGATTGTAGCCAATGCTTTGCAACATGAGGCGTGGACTGGGTGCCTGTGTGTCAAGTGTATGAACAAATGTGTCTGAATTGTCTGGCTTTTTGTGTGCCCAGAGAAGTTTTCTTTGATCTCCAAATAACCTTATAAATCTACTTGATGTTTGCCAGAGTTTTTGGCTGGTACATGCTGACACATCTCACGAATGCTCAACTATAAGGTGTGTCTTCTGTGTGTCTTCGGCTTTAGCCGGTTGCCGATGAGTCATGATATGCCATGATGTTGAGGCAGCAGCGCGGCCAGCCATTGGCCAAGTGTTGCTGCAGATGCAAAAGGTGGATGATGCGCCTGGCAAAAGCCGCTTCCAATGGGTGCCCTGAGGATGGCCAGCTGACGCATGACGATCATGACGCTCGCAAGTTTCCGGCGGGTCTTCTACGAATTTCTATGATACATATTGATAACGTATATATATATATATACATATACACTATATGTATTAATATGTGTTGATATGTGTGATACACGTATGGCATTTGTCCTGTAAACTATACTTGTATGATTCTTGTATGATAGTTCTGGAGATAGTTGCGACATGTTGTGACTGTGATGTTGCCTTTAATTCATTGAATGAACATGATTGATATTGTTGTTCGCCTGGAAGATCCAACTGTTCCATAGCTTCAATGGAATAACCAGCCTGCCCTGTGCAGCCACTACTGAAGACACTGCACAATCTGAACGAAATTGAAGCCCTACTGCAAAAGATTGGGCTAGCAGAGGCCACAGGAAGGTCAGTCCAAGTTGGAGGAATTGACTGATTACAGAAATCAATAGGTTGCCATGAGGTGCTTGCCTTCTGTGATTTTGGAATATGTTGGATATGTTTGATGCAATATTTCGATTCATGGGTGAAGTGATGTGGCTGTCGATTCAATGGACGTTCAGATCTCCTGTTCTGGCCGCATCTGGCTGCCACCATCCTGCAGCGACAAATTGGTGCTTCTCTATAGAGGTGATGCCTGGCTTGATCTGATCATTGATCTCGCTCTGCGTAGTCGGTTTTCCCTTCGATAATGGCAATGGGTTAACGGTTAGGGGTTCTCAGTAGGAAGGTATGCAAAAAACAAGGATATCCAGTGCCACAGCAATGGCCTGGTAATTTCCTATGGCTTCTCTATACACCGGAGAACCTCCAAGTGTGTTTTTGAAACGCTGCTCGAGATGCAGGCGCCACCAAAAACCGCAAATGTGCCACCAGCTTCAGAGCAACCGTCCGAAAGGTAGCTTGCATGGAGTTCATGTCCAGCGAGGTGCAAAAGTCCGTTGCATGCTGCTACCTCAACACGCTTCAGCTGGCCTCGGAATGCCTCAGATGTATTGTACTATATGACATATATATTATATATTTATGTAAGTGTATTGAGCCTTGGCATCATTGTGCCGTTCGCGCTTTCCAGGCACGACTTAAGCATGGGAAGCGTCCTCTAAACTATGCCTTCTTTGCAGTTGAGGCGCGAAGCTTTTGCACATGTCCAGGTTGATGACAATAATATAGCATGATTGCAGCATGATTGCAGCATGGTTCAGCTGAGGATGACACCCAGACACCCCGGAGACTTGAAAGTCTTACTGGACAATCGGGAGTCTTGACAGCAAGATCATCTTAGACTTAGATCATTAACGATGCATGGGTCATGTCGCTCCAGATGTCGGGCTTCCGAAAGATCCACACTGTCATTACATTATGTTGATAAATAAATATTCAAAACTATGCTAGTATATTTATAATTAATATTACATGTTTAATGGAATTAGGTATTAGCGCACTTTATAGAATGCAATAGAAATAAGACGGTAATTGAGACTGGTGATATACTGTACTTGATGTGCCACAAGATATTCTTTGAGAACTCCAGGCAGCCCGCGATATGTTTTTCTTATTTTTGTTGAGCTCGTGAGCTCCGCGAGGCATGATCCTAGCCTTTGAAGGTGGCGCCTTTGTTTGGCCAGGCATGGCCAGACTCATACAGACTCTGACAGATCGAGATATATCAAGATTCTTCTGTCAGGAGTTCGGGTTGGCTTCCGCAGAAACATGACCATTCGGAAAACGCCTCAGTCGCAAAGTGTATCCAAGTGTGCACTTTGAAACTATCAATAGTAACTTATATGTAACTATCAGATGGGGAAGGACTGTGGCAACAGATTTTTTGGACTAAGGCCTGCCAATGCCCCTCCCATCGAGTTGCAAATGGAAACCCGCCGCTTCGGCAGCGCTTCCAATTCCTACAGTATCTAGAAAACTCTAGAAATCAATGCAATCAAGCGCCTTTATCAGAAGTTCCAATGCAAGACACCATCCAATTGTTACATTTGCTGAACGCATGTCATATCATGCAGAGCAGATATGCAAACAATCCCCTATGTTCTGAGGAAGTTTACAGCCTTTGGTGGTTGAGATCTCTTCCTTTTTGGATGCGAGTGATTGCCAACATATCATTGACAAAGCACTCCCGCACGTCGAGAAGTCAACGGTCAAACACATGGATCATGAAGCTAGCTTGCATTGCTTTGCTTTTTGGCTTCTTTGATTCACATGAGAGTCAATGGTAATGAAGTGAAGTTTGCACCCTTGTGTTTGCAAATATCTGAAGGATGTTGGAAAGCCAGATGCGAACTGGAGAACAAGCAGCACATATTTTATGCAGTCCGATGATTCTTTCTTGCACTTTAAGAAAGGCGCTTAGAGAGCCATGCCCTACTCGTACCATACCACTTTCGGTGTGAACGCTCTCAGCTGACTACGGATGATGTTCTGAGACGCATTGATGAACGAGTCAGTGCGCTAACGTTAATCAGAAAGTCGCACCAAGAGCTGGCGCAGATCCTTCGTTACCAGTGCCTCAGAGCCATGAGTTGTTGGCAAATTTCATGTCATTCGTCACGGACAGGGCAAACATTCAACACGCTGCTTCCTCGCGTACTTGACGCTTTTAGAGTCTTCAGGCGAGGCGAGAAATATGTAGCAGCTCAGCTGAATCTAAACCCATGGAAGCACAAAATTGTAATTTCAATTTTGAGACGAGCAAGACAGGAGCAGAATTCAGCAGATAATCCAAGGGTCACACAGACTATTTTGACGTCGAGATGTATGCAAACGACCAGCAAATCCAAAGCATGACCAAGCAAGGGCTGTTCAATCGCACCCTGGCTGCATGTTATTTTCCAAGAATTTCGCAGCACTACATGTGAACGCTTTCTGGGCGGCATTGTGAAAGCCAAGGATTGGCAACGGTTTTCTTCTACTTGACTGATGTTGAAGAAGGCAAGCTGAGTTTGTTGAAATTGCTTGAACATGAATTGGAGCCTCGATGATTGTAGTTACCAGTAGTACCCCACAAGGCGGTGGCGGAAGTTTCCAGAATAGGAAACCTATAGGAGAGGTTTCTTGTTGTGAATCACGGATGGCAGAGGGAATCCACTGATGGACCGAAAGGTGGTTGGAGTTGTGTTTTTTGGAGTGGTTGGAGTGGTTGCAGTGGTCACCTCAGCCACAACTGCTGGATGTAGTGTGCTGTAGTGCAGTTGTAGTTGTGGTTGTAGTTGTAGTGTGGTGGAGTTGTAGAGTGTTGTAGTTGTAGTGTAGTGTAATTAGTGTAGTTGTAGTAGTGGTAGTTGTAGCTGTAATGTAGTGTAGTGTAATGTACTGTATTGTAGTGTACTGTGGTGTAGTGTACTGTAGGTTGGTTGTGTACTGCAGGTTGGTTGTGTACTGTAGTGTGGTATAGTTCAGTGTAGTCTAGTGAAGTGTAATGTGAAGTAGTGTAGTTGTAGTTGTAGTTGATTGGTAGTTGTAGTTATAGTTGTCCGTCCGTCTGTCTGCCTGCCTGCCTGGCTGGCTGGCTGTCTGTCTGTCTGTCTGTATCTATCTATCTATCTGTCTGTCTGCAAACCGGAAAACAAAGATATTCTGCGAGACTTCTTGAACTTGACAACATCAAAAACGCAGCAATTCTGAGGTTTCCTCAACTTTCGAACTTGACAGCATCAAAAACGCAATAATTCTGCGAGACCTCAATTTTCGAAGTTGACATTCAAAGCGAAGCAATTCTGCGAGACGTCTTTCAAAATTGGAAAGTTAACTGCAGAGCTGACGGCCTCGTACCAATGCGTTTTGTGTTTTTTCCACTCCACCTGTCTAAAGTACTGCGCCTGGCACGAAAGAAGTGATGCCAGGTCATACAAAGTGCTGCATCTGTCTTAGCAAACCTAAAGATCTGCTGCTCCAAAATGCAGCCCCTCTCTGGAAATCAGCACCCTGACCTCCTAACATCTCTGATGAACATGTCTCTTGTACTGCGCCTGCCACGCGACATTCATCTTTCCAGATCCCCCCATCGTTTTTGGAAATTGCTCACTTTTGGCAAGGTGCAGGATCCCTCGCGCCTGCCCCGCAAAACAACATCTGAACCTTCAAAAGTGGTCCGGGCATGTGGTGTTTTTTGACATTTTGACTTGGAAATGTGCTTCGCGCCACAACGGCGTGCACTTTTTCGACGTCTCAACTTCCAAAAGTGCTCCAAAGCTGGTGTGCTTTGTACATTTTGACTTGGAAATGTGCTTCGCGCCACAACGGCGTTCACTTTTTCGACATGTCAACTTCCAAAAGCGGTCCGAGCATGAGGTGTTTTTAGTTTTTTCACTTGCAAATGTGCTTCGGGCCACAACGGCGCGCACTTTTTCGACATGTCAACTTTCAAAAGTGCTCCGAGAATGGCGTGCTTTGTACGTTTTGACTTGGAAATGTGTTTCGCGCCGCGCCACAACGTCGTGCAACTTTTCATCTCTCATCTGGCCAGATGGCTCCGCACCCGCCGCTTTAGCGAGCCTACTTTTCGACCCTCCGGAGCCACAAATCACAGTGTTTCGCGGCTTTCTAGCTTTTCGCTTCTCTGATTTTCTCTCTTCTCTTCTCTTCTCTTCTCTTCTCTTCTCTTACTCTTCACATCTCTCTGCTTTTCATCCGTCCATATTGTCGGAAGTTTGACTTCGCTAAATTTCCTTCTGCAATATCGCACATAGAGTTTACACATGTTTTTTGTTGATATATCATGTTCATGCTGTAAATGTATTCGTGTTGGTTCAGCGCATGAGGGCAAGTAAACCCACATAGAGGTTGCCAGACCCTGCGCAGGCGGCGAGACAAATTTCCCTCGAACAGATGGCCTGCCCCAGCCAGTGGACTTCAGCGATTGCAGCAAAGGAATATCTGTGCATCCTACGTGCCCTTGCCAAACTGCTGGTTTTTACTGACCTGCTGCTTAGAATATCATCAAAGATATTAATTACTCAGTAATTACTCGTACTGTAGGTGAGGCCGGAGGAGAACATTTGTGTGCTATCATTTGAGAAGAAAGGCCCCCAGTGACACCAACAAACCAATGCTTTCGGAAATCATAGTCTTGCGACTGACAGCAAACTAGTTCACGACAGATTGCTTTCGATCAACGACAACATTTGCATATCGTTGGCATTTGTCCAAATTCCCCAAATATAATTTAGATATATTTAGATGCCTTGAGTTTGGATCATCATCCAAGTTCTGACACCTGAGGCGTGGTCGCATCATCATTTTTTATTCGCTGCATCCTTCCGGAGAAGCAGATGAGTATTCCCTGCATGCAGGATGTGAGGTGAAACAGGGAACTAAATGGTCTGCAAATAAGTGGAGCTAAGGCTGCATCGATGCAGATCTCAGCACTCATGTCACACATGTCCATCACAGCTGCGATGCACACCATCAATGACCCTGTGTATTGGTCCCTCTCAGGATATGGAACAAACCCATGAACTACGTTAGCGAGTGAGCACTCGCGTTAAAAAGGGGTGCTTGCAGAGCTGCATTCGTTTCAATTTGCTGGGCCCTTCCAGCTGTTGATGTGGAAAACATAAAACGAAAGTAAAGAAAGATCATTCTGCAACTCAGCATTCATCACGAATCAGCGTTAGTTGGATCACCATGTGTATCATTCAAAACCCTGGCCCGCATCCAACCCCTTGTGCTGGAACATTTGGGAACACAGCCTACAGGACATGACAGAGATCGGTGAGGAGAAGATGCTGCACATTCTCAAGGCCGGTCGAAACATGTCAGATCAGTGGGTGAAGATGCACCCATCCTTTATGCAGTTTCAGGTTGTTGCTTTCTGAAGGGGCCACTTAAACCATGGTAAACCATGGTAGACCATGGTAGACCATGGCAAACCATGGCAAACTACCTATTATATCCTATTATCCAATTCTCACCTGCTATAACCCAAATGCCGTTGTTGTTTCAGCAACCACACCATGCCACGACATGCGATGAACAAGGCAACAGTGATCTGCAGCCCTAGGCTTTTGTGCGAGGCTTTTGCACCAACGACCTGGCTACGTTTGGAGACCTCGGGTGGCACATGGCACACCTCCATACGCTTCAAAATGCTTCAAATATGTCAAATATATTCAAATATTATGTCCAAATGTTTGGTATTTTGATGTATTTTGAGTGATGAAAACTGAGCCCAGGCCGCTGGGACCACCTGCCATTGAGCACTTGACTTTGGATTTGCTGACCTTCCGTGGTGTGCCTTTGATGCATCTACCGATGGCGTCAAGCTTCTCCGAACTCGCTTGTCATTTGTGTGAGATCCAGTCGTGTAACTTCAGGCCGGCCAAACCCTTGCGCAGCAGCTTGGCGATTAGACGTGGCATTCATGATACACGAAAAGCATAATTAAGTTTAATGAAGCATCATCAAGAGTCATCAGTATTGGTGTATATATCTCTATGTCATGTGGTGTATGTATTATATAGTCATGCATCATTTTACCATACTATATATAATTATATATTAATTATATAATATATAGTATATATTTTATATTATATATACATATTGAATAGATTATAATAGATTCAATGTTTATCTTTTTTTTTGATTGAGGCAGAGCCAGCTGGCAGCTGGGCCACCGTTGCATCCGAATTGCAGCCAGGCTGATCAACGCATTGCCATCGCTGCCCAGAGCTCGATTGAATCAATCTGATTCAAATTGCTGCAGAGATCTCACAGGTCATTGCAACATATTGCAACATATTGCAACATGTTGCAACACTTAAATCATATAATATATGATATATGATTATATGATTATATGATTATATATGTGATTAATATATTATAATATCTAATAATTATGATGATGATAATGATAATAATCATGTTGATTCATTTTGGAACGCTTAATTAGTAATTTTGGCCCTTGTGATTTTTAGCCATTTGCACTCTCAGGCGTTCTTTGCGAGTGGGACATGCAGGTGAAAACAGGTGGCCAATGGTTGCCGCATAGCATTCGGAGCAGGTGAATTATTCAACCATCATCAGACATCCTTTGGCATTCTTGGAATTTAAGCATGTCGAGAAGTTTACAACATGGCACACAATTCCTTCTGACTTTGCAGGAGTAGATGCAGCCACTGATTGCAATGAAGCATAGAAACTGCCTTTCACGCTCCAAGTTTCGGACCTGGTGGTGTTTCACAGGTCCGGCCCGGGCTGCTTGCTCGACTCTGGTTCCTTAATGGTGCTGGCCAATGAAGCGCAAGAGGCCAGTCCTCCGGCAAATGTTCCGACCTGGAAAACTCATAGAGTCTACAGAGCGGGAGTTGAACACGAGGTCACTGACTCCGTTGACAGCAATGGAAGCTTCAGAATGTTCATGAACATGCTATGAACATACTCTCATGTAGTTATGTTATGTTTAGTTTGTTTGTTTGGTTGGTCTCTGGTTCAAGAAGGAAGCAGGGCTCTAGGGGCTCCAGAGGAAACAGCGCAATGGCGTGGGCATGGAAAGTGTCCAAACTTTTGACGTTAGTCGCATTGCTTCCATATCGCATTGCAGCTGAGGACGAGGATGAAGAGACCGAATTCAGTGAGGCCCTAGCCAATTCTGAGGATGCAACAGGCAGTGATGATATCGGTTCGGCACAAACACCATCTTCGGTGTATGTCATGGAACATGGCGTCCTCGGTGACGAGTGGATGCCGCGTGGAACTATAATGCTCTCAGGGCATGGGGCTGGCTACGAAGCTCGACTCTCTGATGCCAAGGAGTTCGTGCAGATGAAGCCACAGCTGCAGCAGATGCGACCCGGCCTTGAGTTGTCCGAATTTGTCCTTGTTCATCTTGTTCTGTAGATTTGTTTTTGCAGTTTTCGAGTGTTTTCGAGTGTTTTGGGTTGTAACATGTTGTAACATGTTGTAACTATATGAAGTCTATAACTATGGTGTTATCACAATCACGTGTTATCCACCTTGGTTCTTGGGCCCTGGCCACTGTGGCTTCGTACAATCCAATGTGTCTTGGCCACTGGATGCCAAGGATTACCAAGGCTGCGGGCGAGGAGAAGTACTATGCCATCCGCATGTACAATCCAGCAAGTCCCAAGAGAACCTTACAGGCCAGGGATGAATGTATTTTTTCCATGTTTTTCCCACTGGTTGCAACTGTGGACCGCATTACCCAAGATTTTGTGTGACATTAGCTACTGAATTGAATGATAGTAAGCCGTACGGTAGCCATTGGCAAGCTGACCCCAAAATATAGTAAAATATTCATCTCCAACCGAAACTGGACTTCCGCAGGCAGCAATCCCAATGAAGCTCCTGGCCGACCACTTTGAGGACTGGCACGACATTCTGGAGGTGTCTGTGAGTGATGCCGGAATTCCAGTGGCCTTGTCCTACCGGGTGAAACACACCTTGGGGCTGATGCTTTTCGACCATACCCAAGTGCATCTATCAGAACCTTCACGCATTGAGGGCCCTCGAGTTCAAGCTGCAGTGAGGGAAGCCGATGGAAGCATTAAGCCAGCAGAACAGCCACAACAACAATCCTTTTTGCGAAGGTGAGGTTGTAGTTGGGGCGTGCTTGCCTTCATGAATCAATAAATGTTGGAATAATTTTGGTATAACAGTTGCCTCTTCATGCTGGTTAATTACTTTGGGGAAAACAGAGTTTTCCAACATGTCTCAGCATCTTTCGGGGCAAAGTTCCAAAAAGTTCACACTCCTCTAGGCTCAACACACAAACATTTGCAGGTATTGGTGGGTCATCGCCATCGCTGTCCTGCTCATGTCAAGCATGGGAGATGATGGCAAGCAGGGTCGCGGCGGTGCCGCTGGCGGAGGCGGCGGAGGCGGCGGTGGTGGAGGCGGAGGACGACGAGCCTAGGAGCGCCATTGGAACACCAGAAAGCGTCAAGCAGTGCCTTGTAAGAATAGATCGCAAGGCCCTGCCTCGGACTGGACAAAGATCTTGAGAATGGACAGCGAAAAAAAGCCGCCTGGGAAAAGATGTACCACTTGCATGATGTAGAGCCAATCACAGTGGAAGATGTGGAGGTTAAGGCAATACAGTGTTGGGAGAGATTGGGAGGAAGTCTTCGCATGCAAGAGATTCTATGAGATTCTTATAGTCTGTCTTGGAAATCTTTAGCTTTGCTGAGTCTCTGGAGAGGCCTTTTCAAAGTTGACCTTCATAGAGTTGGCTTCCTCAGTGCTTGCTGAAATGCACGGAAATCATTTTCAGATTGTTTCAGATTGTAATATTGTTTGTTTTGTTTCTCCGGGCCTAAGCATTAATGTTTGCAAGAATAAACCGAGAGAATTCCTAGACACCAAGTGATAGCAGAAGGTCAAGCGGGCAATTGTCAACTGAGGTTTGAAGGTGCTCGAGCAGACTCGTTGAGCCTCGCGCCGTTGCTGTGAGAGCCTGAGTGATTATTGGATGCTTATGGAGCAAAGTCTAAAATCTGATTGCCGCGTTTTTTGACTGGCAACATGATCCAGACAGAATGCTTGTGAAAAAGGGCTCCAGGGTTTAACGATGTTTAACTACTGATCATCAAGCAACCCCGGGTATATAATGATGATAATAATGCATTCAATTCTACATGTATAACAGCATTTGAACCTTTGTCAGCGACGTTGCTTGGAATTTGCTTCCACACTAGGAATCACTAAGCTATACTAAGCTGATACCTTATATAGAGGTTTCATGAGTTTTCCTAGCATGACATAGCATGACTAGATATAAAATGATATAAATAGATTTGCCTTGAAAGAATGAACTCTCCAAGGTCAAGCGCCAGAAGCCTTAAGATTCTAGTGGGAAGCTGAGCACCTGGCGATGACCAATCCAAAGGCTGGATAAGGAATTAGCGAGGAGGCTGAACTTGTGCAAGGCAACTACAGAATCAATACTATGCAATCAATAGCGCAAACTTGCGCGGCTGATCACTACATGCATATTGTGTATATATTGTGTATGTATTTGTTAAATTTTGTTAATTTACTCTTAGCTTGTTGGATCTTGTTGGAGGAAATAAGGAAAGGCTGAAAATTGCAAGCCTTGGTGCAAAGCCAAAATGGAGTTTATATCAAGCCCTGGGCCGTCCGCTGGTGAGTCTGAATCAAGGACCTCAGCCATTCTGAATTCGGAGATGTAGAAGCCCAGCTGGATCCCTGGGAAATTCCACGCCTCGAATGGGAGGTTGCAATCAGATCTATGAGGATCCCATGGCAATCTATGGCAATCTATGGCAATCTACGGATATCAGAGATATCAGAGATATCAGAGATATGGACGTGAGATGACATGATGACGCTTGATGAGATATGGGTCAAAATTGTTGACGCCCGATGCATTGTGGACAAGGCTTTGGGCAGCCGCAAGAGTAGGACCACTGCCCTTGCAGTGTTTGGGGTTCCGGCTGGGGCCTGAGGCTTTGCACAGTCGGCTCTTGAAATCAGATCATTTCAAGTATATTCAGATTTTGCGCTTTAAGATAAGACAAGTTGTTTAAATAGATTTTGGACATAGAGATATTAAGAAATCATACTGATGAAACATGTCCACTCTTCAAAAATAGTTGCTTTTGAACAAATTGAACATGTTCCCATGATTTCCCATGTATGTATCGACCTCCAGCACTCATCGATGATTTAGGCATTGCCGCCTCCGCACACCTGCGGGAGCTGCAGCTGTAGCGAGGCAGGTGCTGGATGTCCGCCACTCATCGACATGTCCTTCGTTAATTGTTTGAAATTGAGCCCACCCCACCTGCTAACCATCATGAGAAGATTCTGAGAAGATATGTATTTTCTTTAGAGGGTGAATTCATATGCAATCCCGGGGCGGTTCTATGTTGGTTCCCCCCCCACTCTCCTTGGGATTCCATGCAGCAGCCAGGATCTTGAACAACTTGGGTCAGGTCAAGCACCTTCGCATTCAGGTTGGAATATGTTGGAATAGCCTTGCAACCGCAGAGCAATACGTTGAAGCCATTGGCGGAGTGGGTCCGTGTCCTTCGAGTATCATCGCCCGTCATATAAAGCAAGATGACTCAAGTCTATGTTGTACGGTATCCCTTAAGGCAACCCTGCATGTTGCAGTGAGAATCGCATAAGCTGTACCGTCGAAGCACCCTTTTGGAATCTTTGGACAGGCAAACCGTTGGCGGGTTGAATCGCATCGCGCCTTCGCAGAGCACCTGTCACCTTGTGCTGCTCAGGCAAAGGATGATTGGACAATATTGGACACTGTTGGACGATGATGCCTTTTGCATCGTTTTGCTTGTTTTGGTGTGCCTCCACACCCTTTTGGACTTTTCAGCAATTCATCTTTTGAATCCACCTGTGGTTGCTTGCCACTGCTACTGGCAGGGCTTGCACTCGCTGGAAGCAGGCTATTGCACCTCCGTGATCCAGGCAGGATGGCATTTCAACCCATTTCACATCAGATTCAGTCAGATGACTAGTACATTTGGGTCTTGGTCGCCTCCCATTGTCATGTCGTCTGACAATGTCATTTTCATGTCATCTCAGGTACCCTTGACAGTCATGGCTGCAGATGCTCCTGATATCTTTCGTGCAGCTGAAGCGGAATTTACGCCTCCATCTCCAAATCCTCCGATTCGCCGCCTTCGAATCTCCGCGGGCCCTGTGAACCGGGAGCAAAGAGGCCAAGGTGAACGGAATCAGCTGGATGCACGCAGGGTTGTGGCTTGGAACATCTGAATGATGGTGACTGCACATCCAGATGTGCGGATGAGTTTCAGAATTCGACATAAACCCATAGACCAATATCGACCATAGACAAGGGTAGAATTTGGATGAATTTAGATCATGCCGAACTGCAACTGGTAGTTCACGGAAGGCCCAAGACAACTTCTGCGGGGTGGACAACCGCTTTGAAACTGCACCACATTCGATCAAGTTGAACCCCATTTAATCATATATAGTTAAATATAGTTAATCTGAGTGGATTGTTTTCATCCTTCTTCATCCTTCTTCATCCTTCTTCATCCTTCTTCATCCTTCTTCATCCTTCTTCATCCTTCTTCATCCTTCTTCCGTTTCTTCACTGCGGCTTGTTTTGCATCTGAATGCCTGCAAGCTGCGGAGGTGAAACTGGGCCTTCGGAAGCCTCGGCATCTTCCACGCCTGCACCTGCACCTGATCGTTCAGGCTCGCAATCGTATGCAATGGTGGAGGCATTCAATGCATCTAATGATTAATGCATCTTGGTGGGAAGCACACCATACACTCTACACATCTATACACAATTATACACATGTAACATGTACAATTAATTACACTAAATTAAACCAGAATGCATTTGGGTCCTGTATCTCCAAATTCTTGGCATTTGAATCATCCTTGGCCCTTGGCCATGTTTCTGTGATCAGCGGGCTCTCGCCCTTGGTGAGGCACAGCCAGCGGAACGCCCTTTCTCCTGTGTCTCCAGCTGAGAGCTATAAAGTGTGTGAGAGTGCCAGGACAGAGACCAACATTTGGCTCCGAAATTGCTACCCCCAATAAATAAGAAATAAACTCGAAGCATTTGGGCAAAGATGACCATCCCGCACCGACGCACCGACGCACCTACATAGAATGTACATGAATGTACAGCAAAGTTGACTAAGTTGTCTGAGGTTCTGATCGGCTCAACTTCTTGTCTCACTTTGGAGCAGGGATGCTTGGAGATGGATGGAGATGTGGCACATTTGCTGCTGTCGTGACCTTTTCCGTCAATTGGCTAGTTGCCTGTGCACCACATTCTCTTGTCATACCAAAGCATGTTCCAAGGCAAATTTTGAGCAAACCAGAACTATGGAAGCCAACAGAGCTTGACACCTGCCCAAATCTGGCCAAGCTTTGCATGACTAGGCTGGGCTGTGGCTAGCCGCTGCACTGACACGCCTTGGAGGCCTTCGAGAAATCAGGCGCTAGGCATTGGAACGGGAGGAAACCCTCAGACGCTTCAGACCACTTTGATCCACTTTAGGGCTCCATCTGGTTCCATCAAGTTCCATCCCTTTTAAACTGAAACCTGGAGCCACGGGGAGTAATCTTATCTTATCGGTGCACAAGAAGAGCTATCAGCTATCATGTGGCAGTTTCCCCCTGTTGATGGTGAAGATTTGCAACCATGAAAACAATTGAAAACATTGAAGAAATGGATCTACAATGGAAGACACCAAGTACCCTTCCCTGAAAGACAGGGTGCTGCGTGTGCTTGGAGGCTAGAAAATCTACCTCTTGGGGCCGCAAGCCCAGTGCAAGACCATGTGATACCACGTGAGTCCCGGCTGGCTCTGCATATGGTGCTAATTATTTCCACTTCCATGACACTAGCTAGATACTCCGAGTGTGAATATATTCGAATGTTCTGACCGAATGCGAATGATCAAGATCTAAGATGATGTCTTGGGGCAGCCAGTGGTTGCTTGCACAGGTGCTAGTACTAGCTTCCAGTAGGATGATGATGGGTAGTGAAGGATAGTGTAGGATAGTGTGGGTGTGTATGATTGACAGCCCAATATAGCTGGCTGACCCGAATGACCGAGTTAGTGGCGCTACAAGTCCTTCGGCGGCGCCTACGGAGCCACCACTTGTGACTCCCGTGTTTTCTACACACCCAAGAAACGCATAGACAAACTGATTGCGGAAAAACACTACAAGATGGCGCAAGCATTTGAACTACAGGCGGCTGGTGTAGCTGCTACAATTAAAACATCGAGCCACTTCATGAACAAAAGTGTTGTGATGATCTATTGAATCTATTGAGTGTGGAGATTTGGTGATCAAATCTTCCATCGCTGGGTTCATTTTGGTTCACAAGTCCCTGTGGAGTCCATGTGTGAGGACTCCATTGGAGCATCTCAAAAAGTCCGGCATCTCAGACAAAGTTCTTGTGTAGGGGATGCATGAGCACTTTGAGTTGTTCTTTGCACAGTACAAACGACAAGAAGCACATTCTGGGCAGGCAGGATGCTGCATGCGCAACAAAAGTTGTGATATGTGGCCTGTGCTAGTGCAATTCCAGGTTGACTCTGGGCAAAGGGTGCACTGGCTTGAAAGAGCAACAGGTGGCGGTTGTCCTTTGCTATTTTTTTGACAGCATGTCAGCTCTTAAACGCTTGCAATCTTAGAGCAACAACAACTCAGAAAACAATCCCGCTACTTGAAGCCGATTATTAAGGTCAATGTGTACTAATCACTAGTCCTCCAATTCCTTGCAGTGTGAATCGTACGCTGAAATGTCACCTCACCGCGTCTAATTTCAAACTATTTTCCTAAATTTGCTACAACGTAATAAGGTAGAGCTCAGTCCAACCTGGACTCTTGGGTCCCTGTTCCTGACAGATGTGAACAGGATGTTCATGGATGTTCAATTTGACATCATTTCGGATCATTTTGGTGTGCCAGGCAGGGCAGGAGCTGGCCTTCGCCTTGGCAAAGACATCTCCGGCGCTTCAATGCTTGGATTTGGCAGGGTCGATGCCATAGTTTGTTTCCCTTGGATGCTGGCTTGAACTCTGGAAGAGGGGTAAGATTTGGGGATGTAGGATGTAGGCTGTAGGCCAGTGCTTCTTTATATTTCTGTATGCTACTCGTATGTGAATGTGGACATGATTGGATGTTCTTCCTGAATGGTTGAAGATGATTGAAGAATATTGAAGATTGTTTCACATTCGATTTCATGTTTAAAGATGTTTGAAGATGCGCATGCACTATCGCCATGTTTCCCTCGCGCCGGCCCGTCATGCCTTGGATCCATGATAGGTCCCCCACCCAGCCCCCACCCCTTGTGTAGGGGGGATCCCAGGTGCACGATGCAACGTCAACCAAGGTCAGATGCCACACCTGCAATGCTCCTAGGAATGGTTGAAGCATTTTCTTCGTTTGGCGCTTGGTGTTTGCTCACCTTCAGCATCCTTTGGAATTTTGGACATGCATGTCGATGCAATTCTGATAACATTTCTTTGCTTAGTGGACCGTGGTGGCCTGTCAAACTCAGCAACGAGCAACCTAGGCCATCCACGCCGCACTTGGATGGCTTGCAGTCACAGGCGGTACTGTAGATCCTTCTCCACACACTTCATCGTTGACCAAGAATTTGAGTAATCCCAGGATAGTGAATTTGAATTAATTCAATGGTGAGTCGTTGAAAGGCTGGAGGCCACAGTGACCACCCTCAGCAGCCAGCCATTTCATGGAAGGCCGGTCCGCCACCGCGCTTGTCGAGTCTCAACTGGAACCTGAGCTGCAGTGCATGCCATGGAGCACCGCTCGAAATTCGGGACTTGACCCCAAAATGCGACCGTTCACCTCGAAACATCCCAGGATAAAATATGTTTTTTTTAAGACACGCACACGCATATGTTCTGTGAAAATTGTACATCAATATCATATGCATACATACGTGTATATATATATATACACACATGTGCATGCACATACATATATATATATATATGTATATGTGTGTGTGTAATTGCTTGTGTGTGTGTGTAACATCTGAACAGATGTAAAACTTCTTTGATTCGAACCTGTTCACATTTGCAGGGGGTGGATGCATGGTCTGGCAGTCATCCACCAACGAAGACACTGCCTTTCCATGGTGATATGACGAAGGGACGCCTTTGTCACGTACCTGCTTTTTTCGGACATAGCAAGGGGCCAAGCTTAGAACCCCAATCACGCTATTACATAATTTGCTGCACTGTTGTCGCAATCTGGAATTACCTTTGGTCATTTACTATTGGTTTCGTTGCATCAGAACCTTCCTCAGAGCAAGGACGTAGAAAACATACTTGGAACAATCTGTTTACATGATCGCCGACACCATCGTCGCCGACAGTTATTTATTTATTGGCTAAGCCTCGCCGAGACATCGCCGATGACATTATTGCTGGTTTATTTATTCTTTTTGATGGCGATTCTGAACCCGATGACCATTCTGAAGTACTTCCATTATTCGTAGGACGCATCGTTAATTTCATTGTTTCGTATCTAATCTGCATGTTTCAGGATTCAGTTCCTGCCGGATCATATAATGATCCATTCTTGTCTAGTGTGATTTCCATGGTGGCTCCGACATGGTGCCATGGAGCCAATTGAGGCAACCCTTTTTAGGGTGAGTGATGACTGTCCGGACTGTCGAATTTACGCATTTTAAGTTGGTAATTCATCTAAGTAAATTGCAACAGCCGGCCATACTGTTTTTCCAGCTTTTTTGTGATGTCCTGCCGTTCCGGCTGTCCCTTGAGATCCTTGGTGAATTGCATTCTTTGCAGCGAGAAGCCGTACCGAACATTCAGAAACCTCTTATTCTGCAGCAATTTCACAGCGACATTTGGCAACACTACATGAAACTGGATCAGGCAGGCTCATGTCTTTCAGGTGTGGTCTTTTTGCTTTTGATGGTTTTCTGGTGAGGTGAAACATGTTGTGCACCTAATTCGATGGAATTTGATAGCCGTTTGATGCCATTGGGGCACGACTTGACCACGGGCCTGTTGTGGCACAATTGCACGAACAGTAGGTCTAGGAACTGAATCCTGTCGTTGCAATTTCATTATTTTTCATTATTCTTCGTGAGCGATGTATCCGTGGACCACTCCTCCGACGTCATGGCCTGCTCCACCGCAGCCTGCGAACCCATCTTCGACGTGGCAGCAATCATCGCAGAACGCACATCTATTTGGACATCCCTCGGCATTGCATCCTACACGGTCTTCCTCAGCTTCGCTCATGCCGTCTACATCAGCCCCAACATCGTTGCCGTTCACCTCATTGACTTCGGCTCCTCATGCAGTACCAGGCCCACAGCTCATACCCACCATGCCCTCGCCTTTGGCCCCTGAAACCACTATGGTGCACACCGCTCCGTCGACCTTTCCGTCTCCTACGGCACCCACCGCTCCACCCACGTGGCCTCCTCCTCCGGCTCCATCCCCTACATCGACTACACCACCTACATCGACTACGCCACCGACACCTTTGCCCAGTTCTCCATACCCACCTCACCACATTCAACCTCCATTACAGACGGACGCATCGATGGTCCCTCCAGATGAACCTTCACCACGGGCCCCAGCAGTTAAGGCGGCTCCCAGGCTTCGCTCTGACAAGCGACCGGATCGACCGCGTCGACCAGCTCCAAAAGCCCCTCCTCCTACTACACCACCAACACCTACGGCAGCACCGACTTCATCCGTGTCACCTGAACTTGTAGCATTGGGCTCCACTGCACAACAACTTGCGGAATCGGTTCGACTTATTCAAGCTCAGCAACAAATGATCATGGATTCCCAACGAGCCCAAGAACAACGTCAGCTACTTCTCCAACAAGATGGACCTCCACCGAACCCTATTCCACAGACACCACCACCTACAACTGCACCACCAATGATCGCCACTCCTCCACCTGCACCGAAAGCCAGACCCACCGAACCTGACGTTCCGGACCCTCGTATTGTCCAAGCTCTAACCATCGCTCCTCCACCAACTACATGTTCCACCATCACCAACACGCCGACCACGATCCAGGACTCCAAGATCACGTTCCCATCGACCTTCTGTACTTTCCCATCACCCTCGCTATTCTCCCCACCGTGCAGCTCGACCTCGTTCTCCTTTTCCTCGTTATCGGTCATCCACGAAACATGCCAAGGACCGCAGAACCCCATCTCCATACAGACGACGATCACCACCAAGACGCCGCTCTCCCGTGGTTCCTCGACGTCATCGATCTCACCCGCGACCACGTTCCGAGACACCACGTCACCGATCCAGAGGCCGTGAAGTCATACTTCGACCAGCTGCAAACCCATCCAATCCGAACTACATCCCCACTCCCGACGCTGATGACACCTGGGGTACATGGAACGACAGCCACTACACCGACAACTACCATCACCACAATGCTCGACCCAATTCTCCTGCCGATCCACCACCACCGGAACCACCAACCAACCCACCAGCCCATACTTCAGCACCACTTGGCGCTGTGTCCTTCCGCGTCCCTGACGGTGACAGTGAAAATTCTGAGGTTGCAGATACAATTTCGATCACCAAGTTCGACACGAATGACATCGACCTCAGTGAAATGGTTGAGGCGGCCAATGACCCCCTTAGGGTCCGCTGCCTGACTGAGCTTGGGCCCGATCATGTTGTGCCCCTACGCCAATCATTGACCCCGGCCATCTCGCAGCTCTTCAACCAATTCGTTGACGAGATGTTCCACCAGTTGGCTCAACCATACCGCACCGTCAACAACCAACGTATTTATATCAAAGCAAGCCAAGCCACCGTCAAAAACATTGCCAGGGCCTTTGCACAATCCAACTTACTGGACATCGAGCTTGCGAGGCAAACACAAGCCTTCTACATCGAGCCAGAGAACCTGCTGACCATCACGGTTCCCACAGGATTGAAAAAGAAACCAATCTATCGTGGCGAACACATGGGCACCTACCTGATCTACCACAAAACGAGTTGGGAAACAGTTGCCAAAATTCTCGCGGAAGACTGCATTCGCCCGGCAACTTGGACAAAAAACGAAGCCGGCATGCCAACTCAATACCCATGTTACGGGTTCTTCGGTATGTCCTCTGAGATCGCAGACATCGACAACCTACCCGGCTATGCTGTCAAGATCTGTACCTCTCAGCTCTACAAAATTGGCAAAGGACAAAACCCATCAGGCCTGCTGGCCATTTGCCGCTCACCCAAATGCATCCGTGCCCTAGCTGGAGGAAATGACCAAATTCAACGCTTGTGCAACCTTGCGGGCATAGCCAAGGGCAAAGACAATGCAACGGCTATGAACTCCAGCGCCGCATCCATATGCTATGTCGCCTCCACTCACTCGGTTTTCCCGGGCCTGATCACACACCAGACGGCGGAGACCAATGCACCCACGGAACCTCCTGATGATCATGCACGTCCAGTACGACCTGACCCTCCTGCCAACGCCCCAGAACCTTTGGAACCACCTCCAGACGACTCTCGAGACACACCTGGCCACCACGAGACCGCTGCTTCTGGTTCTCGAGATCATGCTCGCCGATCTTGGCACGACACTGCTTCTTGGGACAATTCAACCTACAGCCGCCGAGATCGCCGTTCCTCCTATCATGAAGGCCACTCTCGAGACCAGCACCGTGAAGGCCGACCTCGTTCTCGACACTCGACATATCACTCCAGATCTCGTTGGTGAACTCTTTACCTCTGAGGAGCACCGGAACAAGTATCGACTATTCTACGACAGCGATACAGTGAGCCTAGTGGCCCTGCCCGATCATTTTGGAGTAACAATGCTTCTCCCGACATTCGGTATTGATGCCACTTCTTCCTCAAAAGGTTTGTGAACTGCTGCATGCTCATGATATTTGAACCTTGCGCCAGATTCGGATTTCACTTTACGTTTCACATACTGGTACCACGTATTATGTTTCACACCATTTCAATCGCACATTACTCTTGTCTCACCTTGACAATTTCCGCAGCTTTCAACCGGCAGTTCGAGCTTATTTGACCTATTATCTCGTGGCCCCGTCTACATCATGGCGTCCCAGGACCTGATCTCCCAGTTCAACTCGGATGTGAATGGAATTCCTCCTTCCCAGCCGGATCGCTCTCGCACACCTCCCCGTCATCAACATGGATGGCACCAAGCAGTACCTGCGTTCCGTGGCCCGATGCACTATGCCATGGCGACCCATCGACCTTTCTGGAACCCGTCCGGAATACCGCCTCCGCCACCTACATCTCCATCGTTCCCAACACGCCCACCATGGACTCCACCTACGGCACCTTTTCCACCCACACCGCCTCCGTGTTCACAGACACCTCCCAACAATGCCAACTTTTTA